ACCCAGAGGAGGGATCCCTGCGCGCACAGAAACCAGCCTCGGGGCTGGGGGGTTGGAAGCAAGAGGAGGAGGAGGAAGATGGGCCCGCGGAGAGCCTGGGTCTGCAGCTTCTCTAGGCTGCCCCCCCCCCAAGGAAGCTAAAACCCAGGATCCCCAGCAAAAAAAAAAAAAATCCCTCGGGCTCAGTAAAGGCCACCTGGGGACTTGTGGCACCTAGTTTTTCCGTGGCTTTCATGGATCTCAGTGGCCTGTGCCAGCTCAACCCCTGCAGCCTTTCAGGTGTGGCACCCAAACCCTACCCAAGCCTCTGGTGGCATCTCAGAGGCTTATAATAATAATAATAATCTAAGGATGGCAGACCCCGAAAGGCATCCCGATGGACCATCCAGTCCAGCCCCTGTGAAGGAGGCTCGGTGGGGGATTCGAAATCCCAACCTTAGACTCCGCAGCCCAGAGGCTTCTATTATATATTTTACACGCCTTGCCTTGGATCAGCGGCCTCCCACGTCCTGGGACACAGAGCACGGGGTCGTCTTGTGAGGCTCGGCAGCCACCTGGGAAACCCCTTGAAAACCAGCTCGTTTATCAGCCTGATTCTCAAGGCCTACTTTGCTGGGTCGTTGTGATCGCTGGGAGGCAAAGCCCACCAAACCAGAGGCCCCTTGTGCTTTTCGGAAGGAGGGGGCCTCGACATAACCGGCCCTTTTGGGAAAGCAAAATAATCCCAGTTTGGGGATAAGCTGAACAAGAGGCAGCAACGTGGGTTCGAAGGAGGAAGGCCGACTTCCCGGAGGACGGCATAAGCGCCTCTTTGTTCTCTGGTTCTTGCAGGGGGGTGGATGTTACACAAGCCATCATCTTCCCTGCCTCTTTTCTGAGGTTACTGTGCGAAAGGTCACCAGCAGCTGCCGCTAACTGGGCGAACTGGAGGCTTGCAGCAGGCGCTGCGCTGGGGTGGGTGGGAGGCTGAGAATATAAGCCTTTGTTTAGATGGGGGGGGAAGAGAGAGAGAGAGAGAAAGGAATAATGTGTATCTGGGTTTTGTGATTGGAAACATGTGCAGCCACAAAACGGCAAGTTTGAACCCGTCAAGCACAAGACGGAAAAATCAGACACTATGGTTTTTTTTCAGAGTTAAAGGAGAATTAAGATAGTCACCAAGCAGGGCAAAATGGAGGCTGATGGTCTTTTGAGTCCTTTTTCGACCCCGGATCGGAGGTATCATGTCAACCGCCCCGAGACCTTAAGAAAGAGGACTCTCAGGGATGGAGCGCAGGGGCCTGTGTGGCCACCCCAGCCAGGAGGGGAGGAGCGCGGACGGGCCGTAAAGGCAGTGGACGGGGCTCTTCGGGTATGACTTCACAACCGCCCTTTGAGGTAGGCCAGGCGGTGAGACAGGGCAACGGAGATTGGGGGAATCTGAACCCGGATCTCCCCTATCGCGGCTCAATTTGTCCTCGGGTTTCGGGAGACAGAAGACGGCCCGGCATTCGCTGGCCAGCTGCTTCTCTGGCCTTGACATCCTCCTCTTTTTTCTTTCCCATCACATCTGGAAAAGCTGTGTGGGAGGCAGATGGGACGCCAAGTTGGGGAAAGGGCAAAGCATTGCGTGGAGGACTGTGTGCACGCAGGAGATATTTCTGGGAGCTGGAAAAAAGCCGAGAAACGTCAGGCCCCGTGGGTCCCACTGGAGACAAGATCCGATCCTCTTCGGCGAACCCCCTCCATCAGGTTGGGGGTGGGTGGGTTTCTTGCCTATTTATTGTTATTTATTTAGCTCCTTCCTGTTCTCTGGTGAGCCCCAGATGCCCCCTTCCCTGGATTCTTTTCGCCTGCGACTTTTAGTCGTCACAACAAGCCAGCAAGGTAGGCCAAGCCCAGTGAAAAAAAGAAGAGAGAACGATTGAGATTGAGAACCAAGCAAGGTAGGGAGCTAGGAAGGTTAGAAATAAAGATGCTAAGGAAGAGCGCGATTCATGAGTGGGTGTGAAGTTTGGCACACATCTGGGCCCGTGGGCCCCACGCCAACGTCCCCGTTGTCTTTCAAGCCAACAAGCACAGAGTGCTGTGTTTTCCTGGCAGGGTATGGGGTCATCCTGACATGTCAGAGTGCCCCTTGCATTGACCTGGGTCACATTTCTGGGAAATTGAATTCTTAGATGCAACGGAAACCTCGTGCGTGTTTGTGTGTGTCTTGTGGTCTCATAGGCAGTGTGTCGCAACGGTTAGAGCACTGGTCCTGGGGAATGTTTCGGGAGCACGTGTCATCCCGGAGAACACGGCCAAACTTACAAAAACCCGAAACCTTTCCAAAAGCGATGTTTAAACCACGCCAGGAAAGCCATCAGGGGAGGGAAGCAGAAGGGCATTCTAATCCAAGTGTTTCCATTGTGTATTAATTTGAAATCTATACCTATACATATATTTCCTGATTTATTTTATTTATCTTTTTTAGTGTCAAGGTCGTGACTCGGTGGATTTCTAGAAAGCCCTAAATAGGAGACCGAACGGATGTCGGCAAGCCAGCTCCAAAGAGTTACCGGAGATGGGCTGGAATCAGGTCACTGGGCATTTAGCGTCTGTCAGAGAAAATTGGCTTTTGATGGGAGATTGAAGGCAAAACCCCACCCAGTGGCTGGAATTAGGTGGTGGCAGCCCCTCCCTGCCCCTATTTTCTCGCAGACAAACCCAAGGGGAATTAATTTCAAGAAAAGCAAGATTATTTATTTTTTAAAAAAATAATCTTGCTTTTCTTAAAATTATTTAAAAAATAAATAAAGCATGCTGGGAAGAAAGCAGGGGTAAAATCATTGCGCTTCAAATTTTCGTCTTCCAGATGGGAGGGACTACAAGTCCCATCATCCCCAGGTGCTCGAGGGGGGGCTTGGGGGAGGATGGAGAAAGCCAGGATGCAGGAGATCTGGGTTCAAATCCCTGCTAAATCTTGGGTGACATTTTTTCCTCTTTTTCCTGAACTACCTCGGAGGTCTGTTGTGAGGGGGGGTGGGGGAAAGGGGAGCCTCTGGCTGGGGATAGCGGGGCTTGTAGTCTGATGTGTCTTGGAAAGTGACAGGTTGAGGGGAGGCTGCAGGGCTGGAGCACTGGGTTTGAATTCCCAGGCAGCCATAAAGGCTGTTTTTCCCCCTGCGACTCTTCCTGCCTTTCTGCCCGCCCTACCTGGCAGCGCCGTCGTGAACACCTATGGTCACGGAGCAGGAGGAATGGCCCGGTCCCTTGATCTCCGAGGGCTTCGCACCCAGGCCTCATCCAGGCTCTTCCTTCAACATCGTCCTGGTCACGTGATTCGCACTCGCTTCTTTGGCCCTGTGGTGGCTTTCCAGCCCACGGGCTCAGCGGCCTGTCAGCCCAAATGATTTCTCTGTTAATTGCTGGGTTAATTAAAGCAGCAGAATGAGAGCAAGCCTCGAATGGCGGCCTTGATCCGGGGTGACACCTGCCAACGCCACGTGGGCCTCACTCAAGGAGGCCGGCCGGGAGCCCTTCGCCTGCTCCTTCCTCAGATCAGGGCTCTCATTCCCTCCAGCCATTGGCTGGTTTCCAGAAACACCCTCAAAAACCAACCAGGCTCAAACCCCCCCCCCCCCAAAAAAACACACCCCCTTGGAAATAAAATTAAAATTTAGCCCCAAATCTCATTTCCATCCCTTAGATCATTTCACTGGCGATGCATCAATTCGGATGTCCAAATCTGAATTATTTTACATTTCTGCCAATGCTCTTTGACCCCCCTTCCCAGGCCACCCCCCCCGAGAAGCACTGGTACCTTTCGCACCCGAGCCTCATCCCACAGAGACCTCGCCATCCATTTCACCCTGTTCTCTCCCAAACCAAGAATGTTTGGGGAGCTTAATTTAGCTTTTCCTCCCAAGGCTCCAGCCAGTGATAAAACAGCTTGTTTATCCCTCTTTGGGGGCTGCCCTGCTTTCTCCGGGAAACAGAACGGGTAGAACTTTTAAATCTTATTTTGTTCTTGACTTCTCCCCTATTTCCCAGCCCCGGGGTAAAGCATCTTTAATCGAAAAAGATAAGGACGCCCTCTGTATTTTCACCCAGTGTGGGCGATAACCCCATCAATGCGGCTCCTCAAGGCCGGCTGGAAACTCCCTGGGAAAAATCAAAGGATAAATAGCCATTTTTAGGGAGAAAAAACACTCCAGTGCGGAAAAATAGAGGACCCCTGGTTTTGTTTAGAATACAAGATATTTTCCAGCATCTGTTATGGGCCCTTAAGAATAGGAAATATCCTACGGATTTAGGGGTACAGTATTTCGTGCATCAAAGTGGCAGCTTTCAAGGGTCAGTGAGTTCCAGAGGCAAACAGGTCAGGAAAATCCGTGGCTCCATTTTGGGTTCAAATTTAGTAGAGGCACTATTAGGGCACCAAAAACACTGGCTTTCCAGCCATCAAGGGAGCTGGACTACCTGAAACGGACCTGGCTCTGCCAGAGTTTGGGAGCCAAGCAGGGCCCGTGAGGCCACAGAGACAGAAACAGGAGGGCATGGAGGACGGCCACGGTGGAGAGGCAGCACCTCGCCCCGGCCCCCCTCACCTTCCCGAGTCCTGATTTTAATGCCAGGTGGCGGCTCGTTCGAGCAGATGCATCGAGCGATCGACCACCCTCCCTGAAAGCATCCTCCAGGGTTCGGCCTCACCACTTGTTCTGGCTGGGCTGGGGGAGTCAGCGCCTGGGCCGCTTCGGACCACAACCCAAAGCGGATTTGGCGAGACGGGAGCCACTCGAGGGTGCCGTGCCAAAAGCCTCTGGCTTCTCCCTTCGAAACATATGAATACGGCAGGCACTGCTGGGCCTTCCGGCTCCGTTTCACCTCCTAGAGGGGCCCGATCTGGCTGATCCCCTCCAGCATTTCGCTCCCATCCCCAGCGCTGAATTATTTAGCATCCACTCCATTATTGCTTTAACTTCTATCTTCAACGCACGTATACAAAGCCACTCTATGGAACGCCAACTGGCAGAAGCACCTCCGGGCTCTCCACAAAACTCAAAAGCAGCCAAATAACAGTGTCCGCTGCACTTTGGCTTTCTGCTCCCTCTATTTCCCCCTCGGAGCTGAGTTCAAGTCTTTCCAAAACTGGTCCAAGCCAGAGGTGCCAACTCTGAACTCGAAATCTGGCAGGCTTGCGCGTCACGCTTTAA